AGAGTAATTCCCTTATGAAAAAAGGAGCAACATGTGGTAGATATCACATCAGTTTTTTAACTGATTGGTTCAGTGGGTAAATGCACAAGCCTCTCACCTTGTGAGGCCTGAGCTTAAATTGAGCACAGTGAGGTCACAGATGTATTAACCTGGTATTCTCACTATTGTCTGTGGGGAATAGTAATCCTAAGTATAAAGCCACAGAGCTCTATACAATTGAATATAGTTTGTATAATGACCATTATTTAGTCACAGGGGGCACAAGATTACATGAGCATGGAGAAAATTGCCCTCTGGCCCTCATCTAGTCAAAAGGTAGAAAACAGTACAAAGGAAACCTGCATTATGCCAAGCAGAGGAATGCTCAGTCTAGAAATTTCTTCATCCTGTAGTGGTTATGGCCTTACACTTTTCATCCACCCCATTGCCATGCATCTGGTAGGGGTGGAAGAAACTTTAGAACTTGAATCTGCTGCTGAACTTTCCCATAGTAGTGCATACTCCATTGTAGTGACAGATGACTCCAGAAGGCTTTGTTCTGCTTAGTAAAAAAAAAAAAAAAAAACCACCCTTACATGCTTATGTGTATGAGAACATACACACAGGTATATAACCACATATCGATTTATCTACATTTCTACCCCTGCATGTTCCATTTCACTTTTGAGCTCAATTTTCCTTTGAGGGGGACAGTTGCAAGTTGCTTCTATTGCGAGTAAAGCAAGTAAGAGGCTTACCTAATATCTCAGTATCTTGAAGTGGGTCTATTCTTGAAGTCAGAATGAAAGACACAGTGTGGCTGGATTGCTCACTTAGCATTTTGCTAAATCCATCCTTGCAATTTCCATATACCTTGAGCCAAGCTTTTCTTCCACAGAGTTCCTATCCATATGGCAAAACATCCACTAAACATGTTCCTTGATGTTCCTTGATAAATGGTTCAAGTCTGCACCACTGCAGACTTGAGCATCTGACAGTGGAGGTCATTTCATCAGAGAAATCATGAGAAGGCAGGAAGGGAAGCAGGTGATGAAGCAAGAGACAAGACAATCATTTCCATTTCCCTGTGGGATAGGGACCACATGACAGAAAACAGCAACTTCTGAATGAAAAGGGCCTCTTCAATAACTAAATCGACAAAACCATTATATGCAGGCAACACTGGCACATAAAGCCAGTTTTGTCAGACAAGCTGCCACCCTTACACACACTTGCCCTGAAAGATGTACCCTCAGATTTCATACCTGGTGTTTTTTTTTTTTTTTTAATCTATTCCTGGGGAAACTTTTCCTTTTCTGGACATTCTGAGTCCACCCACTTCTTCCATTTCTTGGTGGATCTTTCAATACCTTTATCTACCCCACTGAACACATCCATCACAGACACAGCCAAAGACATAAACACAGATGATGTACTTTCCACATGATGACTGAAACAGGATGACACTGATACTTTTGAGTTATGTAAAAAAACCTAGTTTAACCAATTATAAGGGACTCAGGACTTGCCTTAAATTATTAAATTACATATAGCACAGATTTTTTTATTTATTTATATTTATGTTACTCACAAGCAAAGGTACATAAAAATAATGTTATTGATAAAAGTTTACTGTGGTTGGTATTGCCATACTGCCTGCTTACTGTTAAACATCAAGATACAACAAACTGGAAACCCTGTATGGGACATTTACTACAGAAAGGAGTGGCATGAAATAAAATTGCATTTTTAGGAGCTGGACAAATTATGGCAAAATAGAATTTCCTCACAAAGTACAGTATGAGATGTCTAAGGAAAAATGCACCCAAATAGCAAAGAAAGCTCCTTTTTGAAAGCATCACTGGTTTTACTAAAAGAAATACAGTAGAATGTATGACTTTATTTGAAATTGTCCAGTTGAGGCATGTGTCCAGAAATAACACCAAAAAAGATTTAGAACTGAAAAGCAATTTTCCCAGACTACTCTAATGACACTCTATCACTGAGTACTTAGGAAGTCAACAGGACTCACATGTGTTCAACTCTGAATCGAAGAAGAAAATCCAATTCAAGGGATTCTATTTCTTTACTTCTTAGAAGAATCTTGACAGCACACAAAATTTAAAAAGGTCATCAAACTTGCTTCAGAACCACTTCTGCCTCCCAGTACAACTGATCCCTGATTTTTCCCAGGGCATACAGAATTAAAGGGAATTAAATTAAAAGGAAAAATAGCAGCTTGAATGTGATATGGATATGTACTATTTACTTCTTACTTTACATAACAGATCAACCCTAATTATCCAAACACAAGCAGCTAAGTCATGCTATTTATCCTCCACATAGCTTCATGAAATCATTGCAGCATTTTAAATGAAAAGAGTTACATGAAAGCATCTTTGGAATTTCTGCAATTATTGATACTGAAGCAGCAGTCCCCCTGTGCCAGAAACTGCACAGCCATAGGGTTTGAGCACACAGGCATCACTTTATAGTGAAGAAACAGCAAACCAAATAAATACCAATTTCACCAATCAGAAATTTTTCCTCACTTTTGCTTTTTTGCTTTTCTACTCATAAGGTAACTAGTTTCTTACAGTAGGCTTCTAAGAAGAGGTGACCTAAGAAGTCTAAAAAGCAAGGCACTTCTGTCTTTCAGCAAACCAGGGGTGAGGGCTGCTAAAAGCAATACTCTTCTGCTTCCTTATTTAACTCAGCAAACAGAAACTCTCATTTAAGCAAGCTGGTAATTTTGTAGCTGGTGATCTCCCTTACAGCATTAGATTATTTGGTAGATTCACTGCAGTGAATTATTTATACAGAATTTCTCCAAACTCTTCCTTCCTGACCCCGTGGGATGACTTAAGGAAGGCAAACTTTGCAAGCCCAGTCAGAAAACCCTGTCAGAGTGGAAACAGCCGACAAAGAGACCCGTGGGAATGTACCTTGTTATGGACCGGCAGGAGGCCACATCGTGTTCTCCTTCCTCAAACACACAGCCCTGAAAATGTAAACATCTGGTACAAGTAGTAACTATTGTATCAGGCATCACTGCTGGAGGCAGAATTTTGTTCCTTGCACTTTGAAATCAATTATGCCAAACTGGTAGATGGGATTGATGCTGCCCAGGCTGATACTGACAGATCAAGGAATGGATGCTCTTAAGGCTGTTGGTCTGTAATGCTCTGTGTCATGTTAATCTGAGCTTCGTTTTCTTTGGCTTCAGCTATTTAGAGGATGACTGCTGTCTTATTTATTTTTTAGTGTGCCATAATTATCCCACACAATTACCATAACATTCTTATCCGTACAGGACAGGACCTAAAGCACCTAAAACCCTCAAATATATGACAACTACATACAATAGATACGAAACCGTGATTATGTGGGAGGACAGCCCTTTCTGGACAAAGAGGAATTCGACTATTCCTATTCTAGCTCATAGAAATTTTACAATAAAAATAATTAATAATACACATTTTACAGGTGACTTTAGCTGTTAAAAGTAGTTCAACTGTATTACCTTGTGTTGTATTTCTGCTGAAGTTGACTTTATTGATTTGATTTTCTTTACAAGTTCATTGTCATCTAAGAGACTGCCTTGGGCAGCTGACAGTCTGAGCAGCATGCCATCCATCCTCCAGCTCCTGGAGCTCATTCGTGAAACCATTCTGCTGCTTGGCCAGGACTGATTAACAGAGGGAATGAAAACACTGTACTTGAACAACCACAGCAAGAAATACTGTTTTATACTATTTGTGAATTATATTTTCAGTTTAATTACATCAGCTGATTTAATTTAATTTAATTTCTGAAAGAGACAGTTTATCTTCTCTCCCAGCATAGTAGATCTAAGGTTCTGGACACCCATAGCGAGAAGGACAAGGTTGTCATGGACCAGAACTTTATCTCTCTGCCAGGGTCCTTCCTCCTGAGAATGCACAAAAGGACTGGGATCTTGCCAGCGATGGCAAGTGGTAATCTACGTGGCAGCTGAGGAAACCATAGAATAGCACAAGGCTGGAGAAGCTCACTTTGGCAGCAAACATAGTGGGAAAACTTCTCTGCTGGACTGACCTTCTGATAGTGAAAGAGCTTTACTAGTCTTATGGGGTGCTCCCAATCAGACTCTACCCTCACACCAAAAACCCCAGGTGATACAGGTGTTGTAAGTGTACAGTCCCAGGTGGAACAATGTGCAGATGCAGATGGTCAGAGGAAAATGGAAAGCTGTTTTCAGACTGTGTTCCCAAGTATATGGCTTTCATTCTTCAAGGGGTAATTAAACTCTCTGACCCAGTTTGCCCTTATATGAAGCAACAGTACCTCAAACAGGTGTAACAAATCTTTGCAGATGAAATTAGTAAATTACATGAGATAACTGGAAAGACACAGTAGAGAAATAGGAAGTATTCTTATTATTAATTTCATAGCCTTAAGTAATTTTTCTTTCTTTTTAATCTCATAGATGACAATCTGCTCAAAGTCCTTTCTATAACCACCTATAAAAGCATTTCTCCTCATAGGTTACTATACATTGGCATGACTGCAGCAGCCCAGAACTGCATCCTTGCAGGGATAGACTGTGATCTATTAACCAAATATCCCAGCTCCTAACAGTGCCATCATATCCTCTTATGGACTGGCATGAAATTTTATTTACATTTATTGGCTTAAGATCACTGAAGCATAAAGTACTGGAGAGGGCTTTAATCCTGCGTTGTAAATTAAATGCAATGCACAGAGCAAACTAAGCAGTAGAGAGAACTGTGGGAATAATATCACAATAAATTTTAATTTCTAGGAGAGCTTTAGGTCAAGATGAGCCCTCTGGGAGTGCAGATTTGAGCAAATCAGTAGAATTACTTTCAATACTTTGCAGAATCTGACCCTTAAATTTTTCTCATATATGGGCTACTAACAATTACTATACAGCTGATTCAAACAGGCATATTAATTCTAGCCTTAAAATCCCGGAACAGGCAACAGAAAAATCAGAAGATAGCCTTTACCTTATGTTTTTATAAGTGTTGTCTTTCAGGACTAGCAACCTCAGTCAACAGCTGGTCTTCCAGCCTGTCCCCAGTGAGAGAGGAATTAATGAGAGTGGCCTTAACCTGCAGTTCTCGCTTGTAGTGAGGGTTAGTCAGCTTAGTGTGAAGGATGAGACAGAAATTGAATTCACATTTTTTGTCTTCAATCTTGATATATCTGGGAAGGAATAAAATGCACTAGAATGGGGATCTCACTGAATTAAAACCCCATAAGTATCTCAGATTTAAAAAGATGGGTACTGTATGACCTTGGCAGCATAGAAAACGGATACAAACCAAAGTTTACGTGCCTGCAACTTAAGAAACAAAATGAGGATGATTGAACATACCAAAATTATATGAAGAATACATAGAGCATTTCTTAATTGGCATAGTTTAATTTGCATATACACCAGACACAGGGAGATTATCCACTGCTGTCCTGAAGAGTCTGTGGCTTAGGGATGTCTGTCGTTATTACTTACCACAAACTTAGCAAAGTTTTCAAACAAACCCTAACGAGACAGTTGTTAGTTTTTAACTACAGTTTCCTTAAATATAGCTCACTTCTCCGTCTTCTGAAATAGCTCAGCAGTAAATCCTAAAAAACTAAGCAGATACATATTTACAGCAAACTGATAGTGACTAGAGGAAAGAAAATGGCTGGTGACTGAAATAAAAAAAAATATTTTTAAGGTAATCTACTAAATGTTCCAAATCAGTTATTTGCTGGCTGAAAGATTGAGTTACACTAAGCTCACCTTTTATTCTCTGAATAAAATCCGTTACCCAAGAGATGTCATTTCCTGGTCCCCCATCTTGAAAGAAAGGTGCCTGTCCTATACAGCAACACTGCTACTGCAAAAGTACCATTTGGAGCCCAGCAGCCAGGCAACATAAAGTTCACCTTGCTACCTCTGTGGCACAGTACCAAAAGAAAAAAACTGAAAGACTACTTACAGGCTGCAGTGTGTGCTCTGTGTCTGGTCTGGTGTGGGCCAGTGACACAACTTTTTATCACCTACTTGCACAGTGAGCAGTACGTCAATTTTCAGGATTCACCTGCCACACATGAGCACAAAACCAATGTTTCTGTGCAGCAATGGCTTTGAATGTTCTCTGACAAGAAAGGAGATTTAAATATTAGTAATAAGACTTTAAAAAAAAGGTCAATAGAAATTTAACACCATGGAACATAGGTAGTCACAAGCTCTTCACAAATTTCAAACTGTCATTTGTTAACTCTATTTTCAAAGTGATTGCAATAGTATAGATACTAAACATTTAAAACACAACTCATGAAAGTCACATCAGAATATGAATAAAACAAGTACAATGTAAAAATTTTAACATTACATTCTTTCTAGTCTATCACAGGGCATTGCTGGATTCAGGGACATACATTTTAGCTCTTAACATCCTTGCCTGCTTCTGACATGCCCTTAGCCAGAAGACAGTCTAAATGAAATAGTGTGCTGAGACCCTTCTGCATTTCACCAAGGACCAGGTGGAAACGACAGTCGCTTATTACATACTGCAAGTGATTTCTTAAAAAAACCCCTGGTGCTAGGAAACCCATGGCGCTACAATACTCAGACACGTGTGTGGTATAATACTGCCAGGCCAACTACTGAAGATGGGTTTTCCAGGCTTATGTGTGTAACCATACAGTCATGTCCTTCAGATTATACAACCTTTGTCAGGTGGACATGAATTCACTGTCCAGTTCTGCGACATGGTCGCTATACAGCTTTCAAAACTGGCTACAGCTGGAGGCAACAAAACAGTAGAGCTTGAAAAGGAGAAATCAATTTTCCTTTACTTTCAATACACACACACACAAGGATTAGACAAGAAGAGATCTGAAAGACAAGTTCTTCAGTTTGCTTTATCAAGAGAAAAACCTTTGCTAAGGGAGTCACCTCATATTTCAGAAGGTCTGTGCGGCAATATACTAAGCTTTGGAGTTCTGGATGCAAATACATCCTTGATGGGTTCTCAATTCACAGAAGCACTATGAAAGGCAAAAACTACATAATGACTCAGTGGGTTTTATTACTGCAGCTGTTCTAGGGTTTCTGTTAACTACAGATTTGGGAAAAAGAAATGTTTTGTTATTGCTCATGTATGGTTCAAGGAGTATATGCAACAATGATAAACACAGAAGTAAGGTAATCCAGTAGCATGACTTCATCTTTTTCAATGAAATGCTTCTGTTTAGAGGTTAATTCTGGATTATGAAGAGATGTAGCAATATCGGCACTAATAATGGAAACACTTGATAGAAGGAATATTAAAAGATGGTTACCAAAGAAATTTCTAAAAACAAATTCTACTTTAGGCAATGTTTTCTTCATAATCTCCTATTCCATCAGCAAAGGCAGATAGAATGGATGGAATAGACAGGGAATCTTTCACATGAGTTCAATCTCCCTCTTACTTAAGAACATACGAAGTAAATTAAAGAGTGATTGCTCTCCATTAGTTTTTTACCTGTTGAAATTCTTGTAGATTTTGAAATAAAATAGATTAAGGCGTTCAAAAGGAATTCACAAGGCACTTTAAAAATTCTGTATACACCTTGAGGAATAAATTGTTTTTAGCAAAAGCAAATATAAAACCAAATAAATTCCAGAATGTAACATGAGCACTAAACTCTCAGCTATAAGAAGACTAGGAATATTGCAACATCTTGTCTGATCTGTCAAAATTTGATTTATTGACATAAAGACATGCTATTCCCTCCCACCCGTCCTGCCTAAGGTAACAATGCCTAGGTCTTCCAAAGACAGGATCTCACAGAGGTGAAAAAAATTTGAGTATAAGAACCTGACTTTATATCATGAAACAGCTAGAGAGTTTATGCAACATCTTTTCTTAGCAGATACTTTCAAGCAACACAAAATTTAAAAAAGTGCCTTCCAGGGCAGATGTTCTCCAAAACATGCCATGACTGTTAATGGCAGAATGTTAGGATATCTTCCTTTAGTGAGATGTTTCGGATCAGCTCAGCAAGAATGAAAAGATGTGGTAAATTCTTGGACAGCAAAGGAAAGGGAAACAATATTTTTCAGTGGGAAGAAAGAGGCATAAATGCATTTCCTTAAGGAGCCTTCTTTCAGTTCCTGCTGGTTAAAATAAAAAGCTTCTGGAACCGACTTGCAAACTCCAACAAGTAATGCAGAGAATGAAGTTGAATAAGTCAGGTAAAAACAAGTGCAGAATGGAGCTGTTACTAGGCAATCTCAGCAGGCAAACTGTGCAAGTTGGTCAAACTAGTTCAGTGGGAAAAGTACTGCCTTGAAGTTGCACAGCCGGCAAGAAGTTCAAGGCAAGGAAAGCTTCTCCCTGTGGAGAAAGCGAGTGAATTGTCTTGCTGCTTCATGAATAATAGTCATGCCACATAAGAAGGAAAACTTGTTCATACAAGCTACATTTGCACATAAATCAAATTTCAAGACATCTTAAGGAATTTTGTAATAACCTAATCTTGCAACTGAAGAGACATGACTACCTCTTTGTGACTGTGCAAAGGATTTGAGCAGGTGTAACAGCTCATGCAACAGCAAAAAGAAGTCTTATGGACAATAAATTTATTCCTCCATCTTCTCTCCTATGAGTCAAAATGATATTGATCTATTTATTATAGTTAATACTCATATCCAGTGAGCTTCAAAACAGCAGTGATGCAGAGACAGGATAGGAAACACACAGGTAAAATTCAAATATCAAAGGCCATCCATACCAAAACAATTTAATGGCATCATTCCTCTTATAGGAGGCTAGGGCCAAAACCATACACCATTTTAGAATTGGTACCTGATTACTTTTATGCCTTGATTTATCTGCTCCAAAAAATCTCAGTGTTTGCATTTTGAATCATTTCTGCATACATTGCTAACATGTGGGACCCCAATTTTACTTACTTTTTTCTTGTGCCCTTTCTGCTTATATACAGCTATGCATTACAACTGATTTTTTTGAAATTATTTTATTTTTTCCCTTTTCTACTATTTCTTAAATCAAATATCCTGAAATATTTTAGCAAAATTCTTATCATTTTAAAGCCATTTTGAACATAAGGTCACAGTCTAAAGTGCATTGTTGCCTGAAAGAATCAATCGGGAACCAAAAAATTACTTACCAGGCACCAGTAGAGATAAGGTAGAGAGCAGTTTTAACAGAAGACCTTCAGCCATGGGAGCACATGCCCGCCACATGTCCAGGGGATTCCACAGTTTAAGGTACAGTCCATCCAATGCCAGATGTATTCACCTCCCAGTTCTGGCCCCAGCACACTCCTCTGGAAACTGAGTCAAGGCTCTCTAAGACTCCTCCTTCCTCATCCTCTTCTTTGTCCAGTCCTTGGAGTTCCTCCAAGGTTCCTGGTTTTGAAGGTTGCTTTGTCTGTTGGTGTGTCTTCTTGTTCAAGCCAGGGTGCAAATGTTCTTAAACAGAATGAAGGCCTACCTTGAGAGAAGTCTTAAACAAGCTAAAGGAATCTAGGAAGTTCAAGGCAAAATGAGGAAAAGGGTTTGGGTAAGTGGAAACTACTGTGCTAAAGTGTAAGGGATTATACAGCTACATTAAAATCTACATTTACTGCACAACTACTCCTAAAATATACAAAAAACTAAAAATCCAGAAAAGCCCTAGGCGTCACATTAAGAACAATGGAGCCACTTTGCAGCTCCAAAATTAAAATTAAAAATGGATCCGAAATTGAACACCTTTGACTTGTTAGGCTTTTAAATATATACTATGGTGCTTAAGCAGGAAGTCTCTTTCTCAGAGATAACAAGTACCTGTAGTTCACCCTGCAGTCACGTGGTTTTGAGGAAAATATAAATTATATCCATTTGAAGTTCTTCTAAGCTGAGAATTTCTTTTGCAGGCTTCATTCAGAAACAATACCAGGAGCTGATGTTACAGAACATCCAAGAGTCCAACAGAAGAAACCATCTTGGTGAACAAGGAAGGGGGAGAAGTACTTTCATGAAACTGCTTCACAGATCAGCAGGTTCTCTAATAAGAAGGCTAGTAAATGTGCTTGGGAAGGAGTACAAGTTGATAAATCTCCCTTGCTATGCTTTCTGTCGATTAATATGATAAGATATATTTTACTTAAAATTAGGATTGTCTGAAGCTCAGTGGATTTAATTATTTGTAATTATCCAGTTGTTGTCAGTATGTGGCCATTTTATGACAGTGGTATCTACTGTGTGGGTCAGGTTCAACTGTACATCTTTTCAAACACAGAATTAATGTACTATTGATGAAACCATTACTAGAACCAAATTAAAGTCTGGGCTGATGTATTGGTCCATGGGGTGCTGTCAGACATGAAAGGAGTAATTAGTATTCATTACTTCATACTCTGCAACATTCCAATTATTAATGAACTTCAACTGCTGGACTGCACCATATCTATCACAAATACCTTTCTAGTCTTTCTTTATTAGGAAAAAATATTCAAAGTACCTGACACAACTACTAAAAAAACCTAATGACAGAAATTAATCCAGAATGAGGAAAACTCTGCTTATTTGGTAATAAAGGGTTCTATATATTACTAGTGCCCCACAAAGGAGAGCTGTGCATCTTCAGTGAGGCATAGAATGCTAGGTCATGTAATGCTGCCTAAAATATTCAGCATAAGGACCTATTTTTAATAGCTTCATACATTTGCGTTTGCGTCCATGCGTACAGTGCTGTTGTGCTACATGGAAAGCTACATGTGCTACTAAGGCAAAATTATATATCTGTGACCCTTGTCCTTTTCAATCCAATTTATTTCTATTTCTATTCCCTCTATCATGACTTAAAGATCTTTTAACCAATGAAATTCCTGATCTCTCTTTTAGACCAGTATAATTCTTATTTTCAGTAGAGTTTCTTCACTATGGATTATAAAGCAAGCTGTATTCTCTTACTCTGAAATATTTCAAATACCACTATAGAAAAATGTAACAAAGAGGGATCATTTCAAGGTCTCACAGTGCAGAGCAAGAGTGCATCTTCCAGGAGTTTCATGTATGCAAGGAGATTTGAACTGTTTTGTACTGCCTAGATTTTCTCTGCAGTCACCAATGTCTGAAATATGGGAGAAAGGAGGGAGAAAAAGCTTTGGTAGTTTCTCCAAAACTAGATACTGTTTTTATTTATCCTTTTATTAATATTTTCTCTTTTGACGATCTGAAACTGTGTAAGCACTCTAAACACTCAGAGTAGCATTTGAAACCCATTCAGAAATGCTTGAAGAGTATCTTTGACTTTATATTAGAATAAACATCACATTCTTCAACATGAAAAATGTAGCTTGTTGATGTGTTGTTTGCAAACAAGACTAGAAGAGAGGAATATTTTCAGACAAAAATAAATACATATTTGAACATAAACAATAGCATGGCATTTCAATTCATCAGATGAAACATTTGATGAGGTTTACAAAGTGTACTCTCATGCAACCACAAAGCAACATTATTACTTAGGTTGATAGCTGCACAGAAGTCTCAAAAATCACATTGGAAGTTCTTGAGAAAAGTGATGGAAGACGTCACAGACTGAAATTCTCTTGCACTGAGTACAAGCTCCTTTATTTTCCCTATTATCATCCTGAAAATATGTATCTAATGGTATCTAAATTAGACCTTAGGAAATATTTTTGATGACATTTTCTAAGTTTGACAATGACTTTTCAAAATCTAGGGGTAAAATGGGCATGTGAATGAAAAATGAGATTACAGACGCTTCAAAAGGGTCAGAACACAAGGTTACCCCCCTTGTACCACCTACCACTCCTACCACTGCTGTGTCGGACCAGAGAGAACAAACTAACTCAGCTTTGTTTGTTACCCAATTTGAATTTGAATCTCTGACTTGAATGCCCAGCTACAAACCTCTGGGCTGGAGCTCACAAGGCTGACAGATCTGCAGCCCTTTCACTGGGAGGGGGAGATCAGAACAGTCCCTGAATGGTTATTTGGAGCACTCACATGAGAAATGGGGCACATGAGTTTTGTTGCTAACAGCCTATGTTTCTAGGTAAAACCGAGGAGACATGAGCACCACGATGACATCTGCCTCAGTGGATTTGTGGGCAGGATCAACTGGACTGGTTGATGCATGGGAGGTTGGCAATACCACTGTAAAGGGTTACATTGGCTTACTTATTTCTACCCTTCTGCCCTGTGTTCTACCATACCAGTTTTTCCTCAGTAGCCTTACTTTTTTTTTTTTTCCCCTTTATTTTTTCTTTTCGAAGCTGTTCATTGATTTATTTCATGGGATGGCTCAAAAAGCAGTTATGGCAATTCACTGCAAAGTGGAGGCACAGCTTTCTTAAGCTGATTTTGCAGCTGGAAACCCCTATATTGTTAAATGCAAATGTAATTTCCACTATTTTCCCTTTTGCTATAAATGCCTAACATGGAAATCAAATACTTTCTTTTCTTTCAAGCCAAACTATAATATTTACTCCTCCTTGTTTTATTCCTTTTTTGAATTAAAAAAAAAAAAAAGTAGAGATTTCCACTTTAGTATGAGAAACACACATCTGTATTGTATTTTGAGTCCAATTTGCAAACTGAGAAGAGAATTTTGCTCTCTAATCAGATGCAGATATTAACATTTTAATGTCCACTCATCAGTTTTTAGCCAGTGCATCTCAAAAAGAAATAATTTATTTCATGAAGTATTATGAAGCAGTAAGCAAAATGTGGCAATGAAAGCAATATAGATCCAGTTGTCATGAAAAAATTATGATTACTCAAACATACCTTCCCTTTTTAACTGTATGTCTTCCAAGAAGGGAATCAAGTATGGGATTAATAGATTCACCCATGTCTTCAATCAGTACTGTCTCATCAAAAGCCAAAGCTCTTTCAATGGTCTTCAGAAAAGTTGACCTGAAAAATAAAATAAATAAAACCCACAAATATTAGATAAATGCTGGTTATCAAAAGATTTCATTTATATAATATAAATGTAGAAGCTTTTCTGAAAGAACATTATTAAACCATGCAAAACTGTTCACAAAGAATTTCCTGGTGGTTGAGAGTTTGACAGTCTTGAGTTCAGCATCTATCTTTCTACCTATGCTCTTGCTAGTCCTCATATTAAACAAAAAATACATTGCTGAGGCTTTTCTTATAAGCAAATATGAGAGTACAGCCCCACATTGAAGATACTGGAATTAACACAGAGAAATTGGGGGAGCACATATATATTTCATCTTTTGTGATTTTTTTTTTTTTTTTTACATTTTATGTTTTTGTGTTACAGCTTTTGGTATATCCTCATCTAAACAATCTTGAGGGGTTAGAATCTGAATAGCTTGGGAGAACTCTGTTTCCACAGGCATGGAAAAAGGAGTAGATAAAAATATAAGGAGAAGTAAGCAGACAATATAGCTTCACACAGCAGGGTACTAGAGGGTATGAATGGAAAAATCACAGTTATTTGCATGGGTTGGAAAGGAATGAGAAACAAATCAGGGCAGGTGAGGGAAAAGAGCTCATTCAAAGCAGATGGGTTAGATGATTAAGACATTTAAAAAATCAGGCGTTACTATGACCATTCATGTGTTGTGTAATTGTGTGTTATATCTGGAATTCAGTAAAATAAACTTTGAAATGGAGCATTATCCCCCTAAATCTAAGTAAAGACAAGAAAATATATGAACAGATCAATTACACAATAGTGCTATTAACTTACATATAATTCAGTAATATTTTCCCTTGGATGCTGCACACTGGGTTGAATCTTTCCCTCTGTGAGGTGCACATGCTGTGTTCTGCTGACTAAACAGTACAGGCCAAGTAAGGTCATCTGGCTTTACACCTTACTGACTGAAAAAGCAATTTACCCTTTACAAGAAGCACACCTCAACCTCCACTTTCTTTCCAACCTCTACTGGTTGGAAACAAATTTCCTCCGCAACACTTTGAACACAGCAAGTTTCCTTTCAAGCATCTTTTAAAATGGAAAATGATGCTATGGATAAATAAGCAGCAGTCTCGCAATATTTCAAGTTTTTAGGTAAGTGCATTCCAACAAACACCAACCCTTTACAAAAATTAGGGGAACCTGAGGGCAGTAAACATGAAAGCCAATTCTTCAGTGTGCACATACCCTTTCTGTCCTAGACGTATGACTTAAGGTCAGTTCTGCATGTATTCTTTATCCGTTTAATTCCCTGTTGCTGGGGATCTATCATCAGAGGTCAGCACTCGCAGTTTCTTAGAGAAGTGGCATTTTCTGTTGACATCCTATCACCAGGCAGTCTCTCGTTACTCCATGATGCAGTCGTAGCATCATCCGTCAATGTGGCAATTGGGTCCAGGCCCTCCGTCACAGGAAAAGGAACCTTCTTGAATCAGAGTGGAATATAATCATCCAGCAAGGTTACCAAGTAGCAAGACATGGCTCAGTGCAAGGCACAAGAAAACCAGGTTGATATAAATTAAAGTAAGGCAGAAAAGTAAGGAGGATCCCTGGGGAGTTTCAAATGCAAAAGAATATTCTAGGAAATGTGACGAGGAGCAGTTTACCATATTTATAACAGATTCAAAAAAATGTGTTTTCTCTTAAGATATTTACTTCATAAAAATATTTATAGTTCAATAATATAAAAAACCCACTCTATATTATAAATTTCAGTGTGTTCTGATAGTGAAAATTCAATACTTATGTATGCTCTCAAGTAGCTATTTCTGGAACATAAATCAGTATTTATCCACACAAAAATTATAAAACCAGGATTCCTGTGGCATCTTATTAATATACTTCAGCTGTGCTCAAAAGCCAGAGAATGGGACCATCTTTGAGGGCAAAGGCAGCCTTGGAGCTCCCTGTGGGGCACCAAGTGCAGCAGTGATCTTGTGTGAGTGCCTGTTCACCAAGAAGGAAGCAGTGATAGAGCAGCCATCAGACAGCTATGCTTGTTGGATGCTACACTGTCACAGGCATTTACAAGGAGGTGAAAGCAAAAAGAAATGCAACATCTGAAAGCAGTGCTTACTGAACAGGTATGGGTGGGAAGGGAAATGCCTAATGCAGAGTAAGAGAGAGGGAATAACTAAGTTGGAAAAAAACAAAAGTGGCTGGTGGAAGCATAATAGAAGCTCTATACCAGATGCCTGGAATTGATTTTTTACTTGCTGAAGCAAAGGGCAAACCCACATCAGTTCCTTCATGGTGTTATCTAAGACTTCCTTATTTGTGGGTTTTGGATTGAATTCAAAACCTATAAATAAAGGAAAGCATCATCAGTATTAAGCCTGAACGATTATCTATCCCATTCAGAAGTGTCTTAAAAACTCTTCCATGAAAATTTTCTTCCTCCCTGGACATGTCTAGTCCTCAGTGCTGGCTTGTAGACTGGAGCATCTTTTGAAAGTACACACTGAAACAAAATAACCCATGTATATCTATCTGGTGGTTATTTAAAACTAGAAGCATTACATCTATTTAATTTGAGCCAAAATTGCACAATTATTAGTAATAAGAATAGCACCACACCTCTAGTGCAGTTTCTGTGGAACATCCTATTATTACAAAATGAATAATATTTTAAATTGTCTAACCCTTGATTCTGTTCTCTGAGCCCAAAATAAACCTAACTTTTGATGAATTTGCTGAAAATACAGGAACAAAAGTCCCAAAAGGCATACACCACCCTCTGCAAGCATGCAACATATCTATCTCCCATGTGTAACACATTCCTCTAAATATATCAAAAGACTGAAAACGTGATTTGTTTTATCTCTGGACTGTAAGACGAGCAATACAATTGTTTCCACGAGCTGAAATACTTCCTTGTGAAAAACACTGGCACTGGGGTATTATCAGGGTTTCTAATATTAATTTTCACACAGTGCAAGGAAAATATTTTAACATATAAATACATCTACTGTGACTGTATCTGGGCAAAGCTGATACTTCATGGCATAGAACTACTTGACGTTCCTTCTATACATGACTATTACTAAACAGCACTGAAACACAGGGAACACAATGAACACAGGAAAGAAGTAGGAAGAGGTGATGAGCATTTGCAGCTGCAAGGAAGAAAGGAGTAGTCAAAAGTTCCATGAGTAAGGAGAAAGAAAGCTTTGCAAAGACAACTCTAAGGATTAGAACCTCTGTGCACTTACTGAGTACTATCACTTTCCCCTGTGTACAGAAAAATGGGGATTATCATAACTACATGTTCTTTCTGGACCTGAAAAGCTAAGCAGAATAGGTCTCTCTGAACAGCTCTATCACTTCTTATAATGTAATGGCCAGTCTTCACGAACGAAGAACCGGGGAAGGACTTTACACCTTCCAGCCTGCGCATTGGATTTTTTAGAATATTCACTATTACAAAGATGTCACTAAGAACAGACTTTAGCACTGAGAACTGAAAAGGGGAGGGATTTTTTTTTTTTTTGCCAAAGACAACCTCTTTCTCTCTTATGCCCCTCGGAATATACTTCTAATCTAAAGAAACTATGTGTGTGTAGGCATGCATACATATATTAAAAATATATATGTATTAGTTCACATATATACATATACTGCAAAAGAAATACCAGATCTGTATGCCAAATTTTTGAAAGATAGCAACTTTAACAAAGCAGATTCCTGAGACTCCCATTTTGTCCCGTAAATTTTACCTTTTTGTGCCTCTAGAAAAGGAATCCAGAAATGTCACATCAGTTCCTAGTGATATTCTTTTGAAAAGGGTCCAAAATAAAAACACGAGTGCTGCTAGTAAATAAGATACCACCACATAAAGTTTTTCTTTTTGCTTTGAAGTTTTCGATGCACTGGATCAAATGTATGTTTTTCAGACTTCACAGCAAAATTAGAAAACATTATCTCCTGAGCAACATGGAAGTGACAGAATGTTTAATGTTCATCTCCATATTAAAAAACAAAAGCACACAAAAGTACAGTAGGAGAAGTACTCTGTCAGCAAGAGATACAGTTCCTAAGATTGTAAATGCTGGAAGCAATACATACTTTCTGGTGGTGACTGGAAACTTTTGAAGCTGAGAACAATAGGATAGAACTCTTCATGAAATATTCTATCTATAGATTTTGTTCAGTAATCAGTTTTGTCTAGATCAGATACAGCATGGTGGACACACTGCAACATACTCAGCACCTGGTATACTACTGCCAGTACAAGCGTTTCCAGTAATATTCAGAAAAAGAAAAAAAAAAAAAGAAGAAGAAGAAAAAAAAGCTGTTTTGACCTCCATAAAGATGTAAATTCTACTTTTTTTCTCACAATTTTTTTTTTTCCAAGGAGGGAGCAAGACAGTAGAGTTGGTGTCCGTGCCCATGGCAGGGGGGATAGAACTTAGATAATTTTTAGGATCCCTTCAAACCCAAACCATATTCTATGAAGACTTGCAGGACTTTTTTTACTCTTATTTATCTGCCTTCTTTTATCTAATAGCTCCAGATGTTTCATTCAGTTAAGGCTGCAATGATTTGAAATTATGGCAGGAGGAAAGATGAGGATGGTCAAACACACAGTTTGCCCAGAGAGGTTGTAGAATTTCCATGGCCCTGGACAATCTGGTCTAACAGATACAGTCTGGGCAGTGGGGTGGATTATCTCAGAAGGTTCTTTCCTGTTGCAACGATACTGTCAAAGTTCTTCATATTTTTTTTTTTTCTACAGAGAAACTCAATTTCCCTTGTGCACTCTGCAGAGGTTATCTTAACCATGCTTACCCTGGGATATTTTGTATGAATAGTCAGGAATGGTCTCAAATATTGATGATTTCTTAGAAGTAGTGATGTAGAAAGCTGTCATTTTATTCCAGTTATGTTTTACAAACAGCCCACCACCTATTTAAAATGTTGAAACAGTGACAAAAGGATTTCAGAAAAATGAATGTATCTTCTTTAAAGAAAGTTAATGTTTAAGATATGAATAATATTGTTTTCAACTGAGATACATGACATGACATAAAACCCAAACTAGCAGTATTTGGCACATTATACTTCGATTGTTCTGTGTATGCAATTCCCAGCAAAGGAATGAATGTATGTATGAATGCATGTTCAGAGAGCTTCAGCATGGAAAGGAAGGTAAAAATTGATCATCCATTAGAGTAATCTTCAAACTGATGAAATTCTAGATGTAAAATTTGAATAGACTGCCATAACATTTCTTCTTTGTTTGTCTTGTTTGAAATACTCCAGATAAAATAATTTCACAGTTTATTCACTTGCATCAGGGAAACCTCAAGAAATCACTCTCCAGTGAGTAGAGGAACAGAAGCAGAGTAAGGACCAGGACAAAAGAAGGAAAGCACCTTGTAAGGACTGTTTTTTACCCATAAAGACATTTGTCCATACAGACATTTGTTTTTCAGAGCAATGACAGTAATCTAATAATATTTTTTCCAGTCCTTTATATGATGCAATCAAAAATCAATGAAAATCTCTGAATCGAATGTATACTCCATACTTCATATAATTTTTTGTTAAATGCTTGCTTTTTGTTGGTGTCAGCTGCCTTAGAGCTTAAAAGAATACTCGGAGATGTGCTTGTTCTTGAAAGCTGTACAAATTATAAAATCAACTAATAAATATCAACTCACTCTCATTTAAAAAAATAATTTTCTATCTTTACACAAAATAACAAACTAATTGTTAATTTTTTATTCATTATTTCCATTGATATTTTTCAGAAAAATCAGAAATATTTACTGAAATGGTTAAACATCCTATCTTGTGAAGACAGACACAGAATTCTGCGATCACAGAAGACTCAGACTCTTTTGTTATAAAAGAGGAATATAAAGTAGCCACTAAGAAAAAAGAAGTATCTTTAATCAAAGTATGTGCTTGAAAGAGCTAGCATGTGAATGTTTCTCGATGTAAACCCAGGAACTTTGTGTGTGAAGGTCTCCTAAACCCCTAGACCATTCATAAGAGATACCCAAAAAATTACATGTAAAGGACCATTCCTGTTAAAGGCTCTAACAGCAACTTTTGCAATACAGGAGTTTTGTTTTGAAGTGCTTTAGACATCCATTTTTGCCTACAGAAGTCATTGGATTTTTCTTTAAATCATTAACTGAAGGCAACAAGATAATAAATCCATTAATTTACAAGTGGGCTTTTTGATTTATCCGTTCTCTATTCTTGTTGTCACTAACTGGTAAGTCATAAACAATAAAGAGCACCCACCTCATTCTCCAAAATACCTTTGAAATTTGAAGATTTACTAAACATAGAATGATTGTCTATTTAAATCGTCAGTAATTTTACCATACCAGCCAAGCACCATAAATCACTAGTGACATTGGCTAACAAGGGTTTAAGAGTTGGAACATGCAGTGTAATAAATTTCCAGACAGTTAAAAATCACTATAATTTTATTCTAATGCATTATAGATTGCCTGTAATGTCATCCTGGCCGGGGTGACCCATTTCTAATTTTGAACAGCTGTTCAGCTCGGGAGTTAGTTAATGATTAAATATAAATTGCCTGATTTATTAGTCTGAATGGCTGAGCTTCCAGGTCAATGCTATATAGACAAAATCATCAGTCTTGATGCTTTTCAGAAGTTAACTGTCTCCTGTTCTAGTCAAAAAGAATTTACTCTCAGAGGAAAAGGCTTGACATTCTCAATTAATCCTTTAAAATATTTTACCCCTTTATTTACACAATAAAATCACTAATAAAACTTCAAATTTTGGAGACAAACTTCTTTTAACAATGTGTAAATCTTCAAATCTAGGACTTGGACACTAGCTATGGGTGAAGGCCGTTGACTTCCACAGAGCTTCCAGAGGATTTGGAGGTCTGCAATGTCAGGCCAATAGGGAGCATCTCATGGGGCAAACAAAAGTTTTCATGTGCAGATAGTTCATCACCTTCAGTGGTTTTCTCCCAAAGAAAAGATTATTTACATATTTTACATTTCTAGCATATTAATGTCAAAATCAGGTAAAAATATTTATCTGTTTTAATTGCACTGGGTTTTTTGGATAGCTTTATACTCTTAAAATATTTTTTTCCAAACTGATTTCATCTTGATTTCTAGCATCTGCTGAGAGATTTGCAGAAACAAGGATATTCACACTCTGATCTTAGAAAGCAAGGTCACAAGGATTTTAAGAAATTCAACTGAAAATTGGCTTGAGAACTCACACAGCAGTGTGAATATTCTTTGTACTTTGTGCTTCCTGTCATATATACTTATTTGTCCAAAAGGACATTAAAATTCTACATGTTGAATTGAGAAAGCACGATTTCTGTAAAGATCTGAGAGACTCATTGCTCAGCAATGCTGGCAATGCTGTGGTTTACTTGAATGGTTACTGGCCGTTAAATAGGCATGTGTTAGCTTTAATGGTGTTTGTCTGCAAATAAAGCTAACAACCACACTGAAATATATATAATTTTAACATAAATACATTTCATTCTTATTTCAAAATTAATAGTTTCTGTAAAAGAGGAAAAAAACCGAAAGCAATCAGCAAATATCTGACTGGTGCCTTCCACTTATTTACAATCTAAAGTGCAATAGGGGCAGATGCAGGGTGACTCCATCCTGACCTAGAGGATTATTCAGTCTTTCTGCTCATTAACTAGAAGCTGCCCAGGCTGTCACAATGTGTTCACAGTTGTATATAAATGTGGTGACTTAGTTATTAAGATTTTTCTCCAGTAATCATGCCAAAATCAGTTTCTCAGCAATACTTGATTTTTAGGAAATAAAATTATGGTACAGCACATTTTACTTCTCAGGATTTTGTTGCGAGCTTATTTGTGGCTTGGGGTTGTTTGGTTGAGTCCTTTTTTAAAATTTAGATGATTTCTAATAAGGGTCACCTTGTCACCTTTGTCATCCCCCTCCTGCCCTGCAGACCCCCAGCCTTTTTTTCCACACAGTCTTCAAAAATTTAACCTCATGCTCAACAAAATATTCTAACTATTTAAAAAATCACACTAGGATGAACATTCAGGCAAAATTTTTTGACATCAAGGCAGTTGACCATCCTGTTGGCTAGCTCAGTAATTTTTTTTGTTCAGTTCACATCATCTTGACATTGGACTTTGTCTTCAACAGCTTTGTCGAGTGAGCTTACACATAAAAGGGATGGGTAAATAGTATAGCTTAAAGCTTGTTTTGGGGGGGGTTGCTTATTTTTTAATTATTATTGTTTTTATTTTAAATAATGTAGTTTAATGACAATAGTTGTAGACAGCACCTTAAAGTCTCAAGGATGCAAACTTTAGAGGAAAGGTTTTGCTGTGTTCTGTATTCTTTCTGCAGCTCCTGGCACAATATAACTACTCTAACAACAATATAGGCCAAAACAATGCAAAAACAGAATTATCATTTTCATTCTGTATATAGGCATGGTGACATAGGATGATTCAGCAATTTTTTCATGGGCAGAGAGAATGGCTAGTGGCAGAAAACAGGCAGATCTCCTGCATGTTGATCTGTACCTTGGCCAGAGACCCTTAACAACACTTCTATGCACCCTGCTCAGAAGGCAGCAACATGCCCCTACTTTGCTTTCAGGGATTTCATACTGCACGTACCTCAACGCAAGTTGCCTCAAACTGGTTTATTTCTGTAGAATAACTACATAGCTAACAACAGCGAGTTCCACTTTAGGACAAAATTTTCCTATTTCAGGTTTAATGAAAGAACTCCAACAGCAGTAAGGAGTGCATACCTCCACAAAAGCTGGGTGGTTTTGCAAGATAAAAGATTTAGATCTCTTCTGCCATGTTTGGTGCTTGAATTGGTGGTGTGCAACCAGGAAATTCAAAAATTATTTA